GGGGGGGCCTCTCCTACACTTGAACAAAACCTGTTTTAGAGCAACCACCTGCCTCATAAACTGCTCCTTGCCCATCTTTCCATCCACACATGCAGCTTCGAAGCTGGCCTGCGCACTTCCATGGTCTGCAACCGCAAGCTTTCTGAGGGCATCGCCTAATGCCATCAGTTCCGAAGCTACCGCAGTGTCGGCCACAACCAAAACCACGCCGTGCTCTCCACTGGTGCACTCACTGATCGCATCGGACTCAAACACCTGAGAGCCCCCTACCCAAAACGCAACACTGTTCCGGGCAAGATTGTGCTTAGCGCAAAAGGTTTCCATGACAGAGGCCCAACTTCCTGTCAGTGAGGCCTCAAAGGTCCACAGGTCGAGGACACGAGAACCCGGATGCTCATTTTGAGAGAGAACAGCTGCCTAAAGAATGTAGAACCTGTTCTTGCTTTTTATATGCTGGGAGTAGGCTACTCATCTTTTTCTGATTTCAACTGCGTCGTACTCTCTGGTCTGCAAAAAACGCTATCGGCATCATTGCCGGGCAGACGCGCGGAACCGAATTGGCCCCATCAGAGCATGGTCTACCACTAATACTCCATTCAAATTCTCACTGCCAGTACGCTCCCACCGAACCGCTCCACGTTCTGTCCAACTCCTCAGTCTCGCAATGCCACGATGTGTCTGAGCTGTCAGAGTCTTCTCCATCAGCAAGATCACGGGACAGCAGGCTTGGATCTGAAGGCTGGTTGGTTTGACTTGATGAAGGCGCAGGTTGGTTGACAAGCTCTCGGTTGCAAGGGCCGGGCGAAGCAGCGCACCAGCAGAGGCAGCGTTGTCATCACACACAGAACCAGGATGCAAGCTGCATGGCCATCTAGTCGTAAAGCCTCTTCACCGGACATCATTTAAAGTATGGATGCGGTAGGGCCAAGCCAGAAGCTAGTTCACAAGCAGGAGGCCAGCAGCGGCTAGTTCACAAGTGGCTCAAGTGACGCAACACTCTTAACCTTCGCTTGCCTGCTTGCTTGCTTGCTTGCTTGATTGCTTGGTTGGTTGCTTGCTTGCTTGCTTGCTTGCTTGCTTGCTTGCTTTGCCATTTTGCGCGCTGAATCAATGTCAGAGTCCCCAAGCCTGGGAGCTCCCAACTCGGCTGAGCCAAACCAGGGAACGCAGCGGCAACGTTTGAAACTGGCAGCCCCGCAGGACGGAAATAATAAACAAATTCTTCAACTTTTTGTAAAACATGCGTTTCATTGACAGCAAAACGCCAGTCAATAACTTTCAGGTTAATGCAGCTCGCGTGAAAGCTTTCATGTTTCAACATGCAGCAGTCCTTTTTGCACACGCACGCCTCAGATATTACAAGACCGGCCTTCTTCTACGTTTCTGGGCAAATCTGCGCCGGGCGCCGAGAAAGCTATCCCTGCCACAGTTGCACTCACTGCTTGTGGTCGATCAAAGCCGCCCGCGCTTGCCCCACAGCTTGCTGTAGCTCGGCTCTGGTAGTGTCTCCGGCACAATGGAACAAGTTCTGCAGCGAAGCCATCAAAGGATCTTCTGTCCTGCCAAGGCATTGCCTCTGCCTCTTCGGAGGATTGTTCAAGCCCACACTTTGGGCCTGGTCTTCTGCTCGCAAGCTTCCATCAGCAGCAGGGTGCCTTGTGAATTCGCAGGCCCTGGTGTATGGCGCTCCTGGGCTAAAACTGGCTTGTTGGGCGAGAACATCGGCTGCCTTTCTGGCGTACAGGGTTTCTCCTCAACTTGCATTTCTTTGGTATAGAGTCGCCCTGGGAGCTCCGATGTCAGTCTCTGTTGCGATCTTTCTGGGTTTGCTCGTAGGACTTGTAAGATCAGCTTTGACCTCTGAAGAAGCTTCTTGAGTATCAGCCATGGCTATACGGGCGAGGCAATTGAACTGCAATGGCTTGAACAGAACCTTTAAGGCGCAGCCCTGTGATGACGGCACGCTGTCTTTGCAAGTTTGGGCGCGACTTGCCTAATTCCTGCAGCCATCGCTAGAAGGTTGGAGGCCATCGCTAGTAGGGTGGAGGCCATTGTTGGCATGACACAAAGAAAAAGATCTTTTTACCTTAAGCTAAAACCTTAAGTCTCCTTTAAAAAAAATCTAGGAACCGAATCATTAGTGCGAGCGCTTAGTGGCCCTAGTAGCGTCCTTGCTCAAAAGGACATCTTCAAAACAATCAACAGAATCTTCTCCAATGATTATGTCCTTCAACATGCTTTCACACGCCAACGTCAGGGATTAAAAAACATTCAGGCTTCACGTCGCGTCTCAGTGCCCAACCGCGAAGACAGCGCCAAGAATCTGCAAAGCCTCCCAAACCAATCCAAAGCATGCGAAACAAATCAAAAGAAAAAACACTTGACCCTTTGACAGAGTCTACAACTTCTCAAAGATTCTCTCAGATGTATTCAGATGTTGCGTCTCCAGCCGATATCCCGTAGTTTCAGCGCTAAGGAGTCGACGAAATCCTTTTCTGGCGATCACTGTAAAAGAGAAATTTGTTGAAGTTTGGTTCGAAGGGGGTAGAGGCTTACAACTTACAACTGTGTTCCTGCTGTTGACAGAAAAGCTAAAACCGAAACGCATTCATATGATCGTGGAATTCCTCGGAATTCACGGCTTCCCGGTCCAAACGAAACATTTGACTGTGACTGTTCCGCCATAGCCATAGCCCAGACATATCCAGGCATTCTTTGTTGAGCTTGAAGCCACCACTTGCACAGACGCAGCCAGAGCAAGCTGCTTCATCTGTCCGAACTTGACGCAACGTGGAGGTAAAATCATTTGGCCGTTGAACCAGAGCGGACAGTCATGGCGCTCAAGTCAGACTAACAAGAACAAATCTTGGTTATGAACGGAAGCTAATCTTGGGAAGCAATGAAAACCATGAAAACCAAATTCATCTAGGCAAATTATAACGACGTCACCGACGTCACCCTGAATTAACGACCTAGGTTTGAAATTAAGATCTTGCCCCTTCATTTTAAGTAAGATCGTCCCACTGGCAAGCTAAGCCTCTTGTGGCAGCCTGTTGCTTCAACGGAAAACCCTCACACACAAATCTAAAAGGTTGATGTTGTTAGAGCATACCCCTCTTCATTTAAGTAACCACCGCTTTCTCGCCGCGCGCGCAAGACACACAAACAAGCGCAATGCTGGAAAGACGGGAAGCAAGCCACGTCCAGAACTGGGTGCGTGCGCTGGTTGGGGTGCTAGGTCTTCCCGAGGTCACTTAATTTCATATTTCCAACGACGTCACATAATTTCGTTTCCGATTTAACGAAATTAACCGACGACCCACGAATTATTACAATTTGCTCAGATAAAATCCAATAAACAGTTGATCCGAGTCACTGTAAACACGGTGAGAATGACGTCAGGAGAGGCCAGGGGTTTTTCGAAGCTATAAAAGCACAACCAACAGATTTCGACGCTGCCGCCAACTTCTAACCCTGGAAACGGCCCCCGGTCGCAAGGGTCATGTCGATTCAAGGATATAATCGCGCAACGTCAATGGGAAATGCGGCCTGACGCGGGGAATGTGGCGTCAATAGCCGGCGTCAGGGAGGTATGCGGCGCCAGACAGGAACGCGGCGTCAATAGGCGGCGTCAGGGAGGTATGCCGCGTCAGGCAGGAGCGCGGCGTCAAGGAATGCGGCGTCAATAGGCGGTGTCAGGGAGGTATGTGGCGCCAGACCGGAACGCGGTGTCAGGGAATGCGGCGTCAATGGCCGACGTCAGGGGGGATGCGGTGTCAGACCAGGAAGCGGCGTCAGGGAATGCGGCGTCGCTAGGCGGCCACCCTGAAAAAATAGAAAAGTGTGCAATGAATTTCAGATTGGCATTGAACTCTACGAAGTCATCACAGAAAGGTGGCCACTAGATACTTTCTGCGCGTCAACTGCTGAACAAATCCGGCGGTCCATGCCTCCAGGGTGGAGACTTTGGGCTCAGTGCCCCAAGTTCTGGTCCGGTAATGAGTTCAGCCACACCCTTAGATTCAGCAGAAAATACATTCTGCAACAAACTAGCAAGAAAACTGAAGGATTCGGCCGTTTTTTCCTTTGTGTTTCTAGGCAAACCATTGCTGGGTGCGTGCACTGTTTTTGCGATGGAAACTTGACCTTTGATAGCATTTTGGCCGAGGCAGCTCCGCCGCAATATGTTCCTTATCGGCCAGGTTCGTTCAGTGAATGATATATATATTGGTTGCCTCCATGGTATTTGTTTGTTTGTTTGTTTGTTTGTTTTATTGCAGCATTTTTGAGGCTGGGTGGCTGTTGGACAAGCACATCTCAAAATATCAAAGCAACGTATACAAATAATTCATATTGTTTGCAAGAATGTGGTTTGCCCACCAGGAGCTTAAGTGAGCAGCGGTTTGCAACCCAGCAATGCTTCGGACTTGTATCATCCTGCATCGTTTGTTTCAGTTCCCTTCATTATCTTCATTGCTGTGAAAAAGTTGGGTTTTCTTGAAAGGTTCTTAGACTTTGTCCGATTTAGAGAGAAGGACTTGAGTTCACTGCAGCATAAGAACTTGCCAGCCAGCCACGCCAGTTTTTACCCTGAAGGCACCAGGTTTGCAGCTATCGGACGGTCGCTTCGACGTTAGATTCTTGATGCTGTTTCAGCCTGCAAACCTACGTGGGCACGGGGATCCGGGCAGCTCTGAACTTGCCCTCAGGCAGGAGACTGGAGTTGCTAGTGAGGGAGGGCAGAGTGAAGTGCATGAGGTGCTGCACCTTCGCAAGGAGCCCCTAAAGAGAGGAGTTAGGAGTTGATCCTGAGTTGTCAGCGCTTTATGTTAATCATACCTTTGTGTCACGCTGTCGCATGTGTCAGATATGCGACTGGAATCCTGACGTTGCGCGTTACCCTAGATGATGCAACTGATGGCAGTCCAGTTGCCAACTCCGATAATGGCCGCGCCAGGCTGTCCAATGGCTGGGCCGGGCGGGGATGTGCGGATGCTTGGATGTTTGGCATCAAAATAGGCCGATAGCAAATTATCGCTCGGAAGTATGGCAATGAGCAGTCCTTCGAGTCATGTCTCGGATTTGAACAGCTCCTTTAAGGTACGCACCATGTCTCCGCAGGACAGCTGTGGATATTCATAGCTATATTGCTGCCCGAAATTGCTTCTCGTGTTGCTTGTCACCCTGATTCTTTTGCTCTCAGCAGCAACGCTTGGTTTGCTTCTCACCTGTTTCTTCATCTCCCCAAAGTGAAAGGAATTGTTCCAACATTGTGCAGGAGACAGCACAGTGGTGCAACTCCTTGGCACTCTGCAGGGTGACCAAGAATTTGCCTTGTACTACTTTGCAGTGTTACTGTGCGCGAAGCTTGTGCGCTATGTTGGAGCTTGTGGGGTTTGGCCGCGTTTGGCCGTTTGGAAGTCTAGCCTGGGAAGTTTGATGTGCCAAGCGCAGCATATTGAGTAGAACTAGCTCTTGTCTAAGGTGGTGTGAAAGGTCGTATCCTGCGAGATCTCCAGGTGCAGTTGGGAGCAAGTAGATTGTGACTCTTTTGATAGAACAAACATAAGTGGTTCAATAGTAGGTGTTCACCTTCTCCAGGAACAGATCCAAAAGCGCCAGATCGACGGTCTGCAGTTTGATGGTATGCTCAGGACCTGGTTCCAGTTTCCAGAAGGAACAACGTGTTGTGTATGGAACATGCAGTCGCATTGGGTGGCAGGGTGGGTCAGGTGTTCTGGTCCTTGACATTTTGGCTCAAGGACCTGCACCCTTCCACGATTCGCACCGACACGGTCATTGGTGGTGGAAGGGGGTGCATGTACGTGGCACCCACCGGCACACTCACATTGCAGCCGGTGGGGGGCATCGAACGGGTAGCAGCGGGATCCAGCCATTTGCTTGGATTGGTCATCACCATTCTTGTGGTGTTGATCACCACCTGCTGCTACTGCGTACAGAGAGTGTGCGCCTGGTTGGGATCCAAGAGGCCGAGCATCAAGTTGCCCTCGGGCTTTGAAATCTCCATACATGGAGCCCACTGAGGAGGAACGCAAGAAGATGCTTGGAATGCGAGATGTCTTCGCTTTCGTCGGCATGAATGAGGCGCAACTGACGGATGATAAGACAGTCTCTGGATCCCTAGCCTCGCTCTTGGGCGCCAAAGCGGACACGAAGCCGGCAGCCTTAGGCATCATGTCGGAAGCAGACTACGAAGCCGCAGTGAAAGGCTGGAAGGTTCCGGCTGATGGGGGCACTGCAAGGCTTCCCACCTTGACAGAGATTGGGCAAGCCAGGCTGATTGGCCATGTCTGCCGGGTCATCGCAGGCAAAGGTGACACCATTGAAGATCTCAAGAAGAAGGCTTCAGCTGCATCAGCACCAGCTGGGCCAGCAATGAGTCCGAGCTCCTCGGCAGCTGGGAGAAGAGTGAAACTGAGCAGTGTCATCTCTCAGATTGACGACACAGAAATTCTGTTGGACGACGAAAAGGAGATCTTGAAGGCCTTCGCAAGGTACGAAGCCGTCTACGGGAAAGGTGAACGTCCTCCCAAGGAGAGTGAGCCAACGACAGAACAGATAACTGCCATTCGACATTTGTTGGATCAAGGCAGCGTGCCGTACGCTGATTTTGCGATCTTCGGGCCCTACGGCATGCGCATCATGAAGAAGGTCAAACTGTCGGGCGTGACCTTGGGGCGTGACGGAACTGTGAAGAGTCAAGAGTTCCATGGACCTGCAAACATATCTCACTGGATTGCATCGTATATGGTATTGCAAAATGTCTTAGTGATGCTGGATGCGGTAGACCTTGGACATCTCCTGCGATACAAGTCGTTCATTGAACGTCTACATGACAAGTATGGTGAGAAGGTATGGAGTGTCATATACCAGGGTGAAGTGAGATGCAGATTGGAACACATGCCCAGGATCAGGAGGATTGCCCAGGCGGAGTTCGACCAGACCAAAGCCTCAGGCAACCCCACGCCAGTGGGCTATGATCCAGCAAGACCATGGAGCTATGTCTGGGGGAAAGCGATCGAGGACCTCGAGTTCTGGCGAGAGGAAGTGGTAGAGACCGCCTTCTTAATCCTGACTAGAATCACAAACACAGCCGAGGCGGTTGAAGGAGATGCAACGACATCGCAGCCAGGGCCGCATCCACGGGAGACAACCCCGGCACCGTGGAGGATGGCATCAGCTGCAAACACTGCCTCGGCGGCGTCAACAGAGCAACCTCCAGCAGCGCCAGAGTGGAGAACCCGCAAGGCGAGTCGAACTGGCCGATTCAACAATGTAGCCGATGGCAAATACCTGACAAACAGGACGGGCTACAGCTTGTGCGCGGACTTCAACAAAGGCACGTGCACGGATGTGACACAGGGCATTTGGTGTCAACACTCGTGGGATTCAGTGCACCAGTGTGAACGTTGCTTGGGATCCCATGCAGCTTCGAAGTGCCCACATGCAGAGATGCCTGAACCTGGTTTCCTCAAGAGAGCGGCAAAAGGGAAAGGCAAGAAAGGCGGAGGCAGGAAAGGTGAAGGTGGCAAAAGGCCACCTTACTGACAGACGACTTCCGCATTGCATGAGGGCCTGAAGTTGGAGGACACCAGCAAGCATGGCCTGATACAGAATTCGGTCGTTGATGTGTCGGATACAGAACCCCGGCAGATTAATGGCAGAGTGCTACACCTTTATAGTGGACCACACAGGCCTTCTGACGGTCGGGGGAAACATCTCGAGGACCATGAAAGGGAGGCAGCCTATGTGGACAGAGAGATCAATGAGTTGCATGACCTCCTGGATCAGGACATCTGGGAGAAGATTGAATTGAATTTGCCTATGTACAATGGCTACATGGTTTCACCGCCTTGCAGCACCCTTTTGCCTGCAAGGCAAGGCCAGGGAGGACCGCAGCCGTTAAAGTCGACAGAGGGTCCAGAGGTCTACGGGCTCACAAGTTTGACGGCTGAAGACATGCAGAAAGCCAGAGAAGGCAACATTCTGGCACTTCGGGGTCACCCTACGGCATCTCATGCACGCAGGAGAGGCAAACCGTGGCTGCTTGAGCAACCGCATGAGAGAGAGGAGAAGACTTCGATGTTCAAGCTGGATGAATACAAAGACTTGATAGCAACAGAAGGAGGGTTCAGATATACATCTGCACAGTGCAGGTTCGGGGCACCTTCTGGGAAGCTGACAGATTTGTTGAGCGACATTGAAGGCCTGACCGAGTTTACTATTTTGTGCAATCACCCGAAACAGTGGTGGAGGGTCCCTTGGGGCGGAAGGTGGATCTTCGCTACGCACCCTCCACTTAAAGACAAGCAGAGGGCAATCCAGGCAGATCAGTGGAGGCCCTCGATGCTACGGTCAAGAGAGCCACAAAGGGAATGTCTGACAAGACAGGCAGCTGCGTACCCGGATGAACTCAACAGAGCATTGGCTACTGCACTTGCAACAGCAATCATACGAGTGAGAAGCAAGCAGGGCACAACAGATCGTTTGGACAACAAACGAACAGCAACCATCAATGATGAGAGAGATAGCTTGAGGAACGTTCCTCACTGGATCACAGACAGGATGGAGTGCATTGGAGTGCAAGTGTGCAACATCATTGGGAGGCACCTCGATGACGACGAAGGAGCAGAAGATCAGCTCTGGCACAACCTAGCACACCATCAGAGCCAAGAGGATGTGATCGTTCCAGAACAAGCAATATCTTTGATGAGACGGGACATCAAAGTGATGTTGATCAGAAACTCATCTGGTAGACTGCCAACAGACCTCTCAGTTGACACGGTCAGTGATAACGGCTGTGCCACAGTCATTCGTGCATATCTGTGGGAAGCCTGGGCACGAGTAGTGGGGGACCCAGCGTCAGGAGTGGTCACCTGGCTGTATCGTGGGGCGCCAGCAGGGCTCACTATGCATTCAGAGAGCCTGGACGGGGTCTTTCCTGTGGTTGACGCTGACACGGAACAGCTTGACATTCACAGCCTGGCTACAGACTTTGACAGCTCCCACAACTATGTGGGGGTCGAAGACGATGAAGAGGCATTGGAAACACTCGAGAGCCACCGCCAGAAGGGCTATCTGTCAAGATATGACAGCATCGAAGAACTCGTGACGGTGCTGGGAGACGAACCTGTCTCGTCAAGGCTAGCGTGCTTAGAGAAACTGAAGTACAACCTGGACACAGGGCAGTACATCAGCAAGAGTCGCATCATCCTAGATTGCAAGCGCAGTGGAGTTTCACTCACGTCCGTGAGAACGCACAAGAGTGTCTTGCCGAGGACCACAGATGCAGTTAGCTCCTCACTGGAATTGTTCGACAATGTGACAGAGGGCCATGAATTCACGATGTTCATCGCAGGCATTGTAGATGCCTTTTGGCTGATCACGTATGGCACCTCTGACATTTGCAGCAATCATGGCTTTGAGATCACGTGGATCCAAAGCATCAGTGATGATTTTCGACTGCAGACGGATGACCATTTGGTGATCACAAAGGGCACACAGCATAGGATCAGGAGACGGGCAGTGGTCTTCGCAGCAGCATGGCAGATCATGGGTTTTCCTTTGGCATTCCACAAGGCTACACTGGCACACAAGTTGACCTGGATAGGTGTGCAGCTGGAGATACTGAGTGGGGCAATTGTAGCTGAAGTCACTGAAGCTAAAGCGGGAGAAATCTCACAGCTTCTGACCGAGGCATTGACGCACAACCTCGTATCTGTCACGTGCTTGCGCACAATCAATGGCAATTGCATTCTATCGCATCGGTCATCGTCGTTTGGAGGCCGTTCGTCCAACGACTGTGCACAGCGTTGCACGCAAGGTGCCTTTCGAAAGCTGGGACCGGTGGTGGTCATCACTTGGGACGCAAGTGCATTTGGCATGGACGCCACTGTACAAATCCAGGGACAATTTAGAGAGTTCTTTGCTGTCCGCTTCTCGTCAGCGGAGCAAGATATCCTAGGTGTGCAAGCGGGTGATTGTCAAGGACAACAGGTGTGGGAAGCGCTAACGGGACTCATTGCGTTGAGGCAATGGGCAGTTCCCTGGCAGCACACACCGGTGTTTCTCCGGATCTGAAACGACAATGTTGTGCATTGTCGCTGTTTGCCAACCTCAAAGCGGGATCTCCGGCTTTGAACCTGATCGCAAGAGAATTCTTTGGATCTGGGTCAGGCGACATGCAGGCCACGGCTGGTCACGCACATACCAGGCTTGACCAACACGGCGTGTGATGCGCTGTCGAGGATCAACGATCCTGACAAACAGTTCAAACTGCTGATCCAACTTTCGGGTGCGAAAGCAGTGTTGCCCAAGCCACGTCGGCTGGGATGGTGGAAGACGCTCCCACACCGACTTGTCGTCTCTCCGGCAAGCCAACTGCAGCATGAGGAGGGAGAGATACACCAGCTTGCACAGACACCCGGACACAGTGCAGGGTGAAAGACTTATAATGTTTAATTCCAAGCCGAAAACTGGCTGCGAACCTGAGCGATGGCAAAAGTCTGCGGGTCGCTTGAGTGGGGGGGGGGATGGAACCTGACCTCGGGTCCGTCGTTCGGCCGCTTGTCGTCCTTCGGCGCCCACACCTGTCCTTCGGCACCCACACCTGTGGGGAGGGCCTCACATTTCCTCACGTTTAATATCCGCTGCTTTACCAGGTTCAAAACCCCGTCGCACCGCGGGAAGAGTGCAGAGGGGCAGCTTGCTCTACCCCTCTGGTGCTCCATAAAGATGGCATGATCTCCAAACAGGACATAAAACTGTCTGTGCTGGGAGGCTTTTGATCCTGGGTGGGAGGGGACTTACCGCCCATGAGTGAATCATGGGGATGGAGTTGGCACCGTACCCTCTTGGTCTTTGCGGGCGCCCAGTGCTGTGAACTCGCGGGAGCAATGAGGGTGAGATCGGATACATCGTACGTCGCCAACTGTATGAACTGCCCTGACATCCGTCCATGGAGTTGCCGCTCACGGCCACCTAGCCTCTTCACCAGGGGTGTCTTCACTGACATCGACCGTGGAGGTGGCAGGTCTGAAGACCTCGATCTCACAGACCCTGATTTCCACTGACATCGACCGTGGAAGTGACAGATCTGAGGATCTCGACTGCGCAGCATCACTCAACCTCACAGGCTCGAAAGATGGCTGGTGATGTGACAACACTGAGAACTGCTATACGGGTACTAGCGTGTGTTGTAGCAACACTGAGGACTGTTTATGAGTGTTGGCGCAGCATATTACAGCAACCTGGCTTGCTGCCGGATACGTGCTTGGATCACGTCTCACTGATATTAGGCACAGACACGCTCCCATGCGTGTTGCGGAGCCTTGCAGACCATTTCGCGAAGTCAGGGTCACTGACAACCAGAGCTGACGGTCAGAGCTGGAAACTTGACTTGAGGGCTGGCTACAAGGTCTTCTTCGGTGAGTGAACCGGCAGGCAAAGAACTGGAACTTTTGAAGACATTAATTCGAGAGTTGTCCGGGATTGCCTTCAACACCGTCACCAGTTAAGGTGCAACTTTATTGTTCGTGACACCCAGTCGTCTTCTGGTCTGGGTGAATGTTAATTCATTGTTGGGGTCGGACGGCTGACCGTGGGGAGCTCCGTGGCCCTCCGATTCGTAAGGAACTGTTGCGGATACTCCCCCCCTTTGCATCGACTGACTATAGTGAGAGGATTCAACCGCCTGAAAGGCTGGTGTGCTCTTGCTGATCATGATTTGAAATTTGCCACCCGATTAAAGGTTGATCCCTCCTCGAGTCAGTTCATCATTAGACTCGGACGATTAAGTGCAGGTTAGTTGGGTACCTTGTACCAATCGCGAGTACCCGTATGAACTGAATATGGGTAACTTTCGATGAGTAACCCAACTGCTGATCCAGCAGCATCGCTAGGAAAAACCTGCGCTTGGGAGGAGGGAGGGACTTGCATGTTAGACAAGCATGTTAGAAGGAACAACGTGTTGTGTATGGAACATGCAGTCGCATTGGGTGGCAGGGTGGGTCAGGTGTTCTGGTCCTTGACATTTTGGCTCAAGGACCTGCACCCTTCCACGATTCTTCCCACCCACCCTGAACTTAACAGTTCCCCAGGTTAGTTGGGTACCTTGTACCAATCGTGAGTACCCGTATGAACTGAATATGGGTAACTTTCGATGAGTAACCCAACTGCTGATCCAGCAGCATCGCTAGGAAAAACCTGCGCTTGGGAGGAGGGAGGGACTTGCATGTTAGACAAGCATGTTCGCTTAACACCCAGTGAATTGTGAATTCCATGACTACTTCTTGCCACGCCATGGCGGGAAATACATCCGAATGCATTGGGCTCCTGACTGTCAACAAGAAGGGATTTGGTAATTAGGCATTGTTGATATATATATATATTATACAGTACTTCCGGCATGATGATGTGAACCTTTGATGCGACAGGACAAACACATTGACAGACTTGGGCATCGAGGAGTCGTGCGCAGAGCTTTCCTCCTCCTCCTCCTCCTCCTAGACCCCGTAACCAATCACAACAAAACATACAGACCAACCTGAGTGCCATTTGTTGTAAACCGACTATACTTGGCCAAGTACCATACTAGATTGTGAGCTGCGTGAGTCTCGAGGAGCTAAATGCGCGGTTGGCTCTTTCAATCCGTCGCAGTTGGACTACGGACTTTAGTTGCGGCCTTAGAATCCCGAGAAGAAGTGGGACGCAGGACGCCCTTTCGTCAGATGCAGCACTGTTCACAAGTTCCAAGCCCCGCAGCGATTCTCCATATTTTGTTGCTGCAAAACCTCCTAAGTTATGAGACCCACCAATTGCCATATGCCTGCTGGAAGCTGTGGGCAAAAATTGGTTACATTGTCCTAGCTGCCAAATTATGCAAGCCACACTCTTCTGGCTTGTATTGTTGGTGGTCACCAAAAGCATCTCCTTGAAAAACGCCTTTCTTGAACATAAAGCTGATCTTCAAAAGAAACTTCACAGTCAACGCACTCAGACGGTGTGACCTTCATCACTTGGGCAGCCAGCCAGGCCAAACCAAGCAGACTGAAGATGGAGTGTTTTGTTTTGTCCGACTTTTTAGCTTAACTGTTTTCATGGAATTCTCTGAAGTGTTGCCATTCTAGGCTCATTTTCAAAGTCGTGATGAAGATCCACGGCGTCACAAAAGAGTTCGGAGCTTTGCTATTTGACGTGAAGTTGTTGAGTGCCTGAAGCAGAACCATCCGATTCTGAGGATTTCTTCAGCCAAGCTGATGGTCCAGATTCGGAGTGGCATGCTAAGTTGCACTCACTTAGTCTACACTCAGTTAGTTGTGTCATTTGTAGCCGTGTCAAAATCCTACCTCACCTTTCAGATACTCTCGTGCCAGCTACGGCATGCCACCTCGCAGCAGGCGTCATGTCATGTTTAATCCTGTGTTTATCACTTTGGGATACTGTGGGTTGATCCTGTTCTATTGTTTTGTGCTTTGCTGGCAGGGACAAGCCGTGGTCACCATCGATGGCTCACGGAGGATGCGGGTTACAGTATACATGTTGACAAGGGTCGTTGAAATGAGGAAAGACACCAAGTTGGATCATCCGCATGAAGAAGTACACATATGTTCGGCAGTTTGGGACATGATGTGATCCATTGTTGCGATGACATTGTGTATCTGGGATGGGAGTACTGATATTGCAAAATCTGAGGGCAAGAGACAAGGACAGTTGATATCGAAAAGGTAATCTACAAGTGTCCATTGTATTCAGGGGACTCGGGCAAGACTCGTTGGGTTGTGGCGAGAAGAGAAAAGCAACTATATGTACTTTATAAGCTCATGGGAATGTGCTTGATTTGTTCTTTCAGCCCTGCCAGTGCCACCTCTTCGGGATCCTCAGCTTAGCATGGAACGTGTGCCAAGCTTAGCAACAGTACCGCAGGTATCGCGCAAGTATTGACACTGCTCCGGGTACACAACATTCCAGATTTGACAAGTACAGCTCAACGTCATCACCATAACGCGGAACAACATCGAATTAACTGTAAACGCAGTTAGCATGCAAGCACATAGCGGTTTGCCAGCACACCCACATACATGCGTTCAAAATAATGCAAACGTATTGCCAACGTTGGTCCAACATATTGCTGCCTGCATGACAATTCTCCAAACCGAGTATGGTCAAATTCTTAGTTCAGACCACCAGTTTTGTGGGCCTTCCTCGCCTCAAACGCAATTCTCCATCCTCCTGCTCAAATAGCTTCTTTGAAGGCTGCCAGGAAAACATCCACTCAGAGCAGGTCTTTCAATCTGCTCCAATAAAAGCAAAGACATATATAATTTTGGGAGAGCTGAGAGCTTAGTGGCTTAGTAGTCATCGTGCCACATGATTGTACGTGCAAAAGAAGGCCCCAACGTTCGCGGTTCAGAGATATGCTGAGGTTGGGCGAGATCCGCGACTCGAGGTGTCGGAGACGAGCTTTGTTCTTATCTCTTTGTCCACTGTGCAAGACCATTGCGAGGATCCGGGCTATTTGGGGATGGATCACAGAGCCTGTGCCTCAAAAACGGCAAACACCTGTGATATTTTCACATGCTGGGCCGGACTGCAGAACACCGAAGGTGCCGTCACCATATCCTGGGGAGACTTGGCTGATTGCTTTGGGTTGGTGAAAGCTCTGGGACTTCAGCCAGGACATACTGTAAATGGACATAGCTTGTAATCTTGTGAACACCAGATAACCATGGCTGGCTGAAGAGACTAAATAACCATAGTGCTCAACAAGTGGAAGTGCTTAACAAAGTTTGTGCTTATTGGGCCCACCTTGACGCGGTACATTCGACGCTTCACTTGGAAAAAGAAGAAAGGCCAGAGTGTTTGTCAACTTGTTCATTCCAGCACAGTTTGACCCGACTGAATGGCCGAGCCATACTTGGGTCCTACAATCTGATCTCCTTTCAGAATCGAGTACATTGACATAGTCTGCAATGTCTCTACCTAGTTAGTTAGATTTGTTGCTTGGTTCTTAATCAAGCACATCTCTGTTGCATCTCGTTTGACCTTGTTAACCTCTAGCACCCCACAAGCATGTGGAAGGGCTTAGAGCTGGGATTCGTACGCAAGCTCTTGTAGAGTTCGCGCTCAAAAGGATCGTGGCATGGGCTATGATGACTTCTATGACCGTGGTGCTGGTCAAATGCCAGTCTGGAACTTGGGTCAAGGTTCACTTTTGATGATTTACAGGCGAGGCAGGTTTAACAATTTACGTCACGTGTTGTGCTTCACTTTGTTTTGACATGACATGGCTTTAACTCCGATACCTCATACTCATCGTTGCTCTTGGAGACAAATCAAGCAGCTGTTGCTTCAACAATATCAGGCTGACAGAAGAGCAGCTTGGCGTGTGCGCAGCTTAAGAGCATCTCACTGAAGAAGAAATACGTATAAGTCCATTTGGCACAAAGTCGACTCGGGTGTTGATGTGATTTGACGTTTCCTGACCTACGACCTACGCAATATAAAAATATAGATGTCATGTCACGACCTTCAACATCGCAAGCGTCGCTTGAGCCAGCTCATACGTTTTTCTGCGTCAAGGTGTGCTGCATACTTGGCTGCTGACATAGATACCTCCTCGCACTGCATTTGTGAAGCCTGTTAAGCAACACAAAAGACGGTTTGCAATGTGCCAAAGCCTGTGCCTGTGGGGTTTACCAGACATTTACAAGACGCCCAAAATGAGCGCGTGCAACAAGCTTCGCGTATAATTGTATAATTGTTTGGACAAGCGAGCGCTGTTTGTGTGCAGAGCGTGCAGAGCATCATGCGGAGCATCCGGAAAGTCAAACTGCTTATACCGACGTCGGTGCATGTTGATCGGTCTTGGCAAGGTTCGGCTGGTCTTGAACTAGGTTCAAGCTTGGTAATTGGTAAGGATCCATATAAGATTCCAATTGCGAGGGGAGACTGCAGCTAATGTACAAAATCAAAGGCAAGCAAGGTAAGAATGGTGACAACCATGGCTGCAGGGCTTGATTTCTCTCGGGTGCTACATCTGGGCCCATCTGGCGCACATGTGCTGACTGGTGATATAGTCTTTTTGGCCTTATGGGCCTTATATGCAACTTATGTGCAATTTTTGTGCACACTGACACTTGGTGGAAGAAGGTTTTATCTGTACAAGTTTGCAAGTAGCTGAGTAATCGAGCTGTCAGGGATCACCGCCACGTTTGGATGGCATGGATCCATGGGGTCGAGGCGTTGCTTTATTTTTTTGTGGAGTCAAACATGGCAAAAGTATGCGAAAAACCCAGATTGAGTGAAGCATTGTTCCAAGAACTGCTTATTCTGCAAGTCATGCCACTGAGATTCACGAGTGCTTGGCTTGGCAGTTGTCAGATGGCAAAAGTTCAACATCCTGTTGTGTCGATCCCTGAGAAGGCCCACAGATCCAGATTCCCCCTTCACCACCTGGTTCAAGAGACATGCCCAAAGCCCAGATTCGCAAGCAAAAGGGAAGAAGGGAGGCTTGCGAGAGAACAACGCAAAAGAGCTTCTACAGTAACATACACCTGACACACTAGGCCTTGGAAAGGTTTTGCTACTGACCAGAGGTCCCTCAAAATAGAGGCACTGTTTCTTACAGCGAGGGTTCTTCTGCATCCCTCCTAGCTACTTACCAAGCTTTGCGACAACCTAAAAAAGCAGAAAGGGTTTTGAGAAAGAGGAGTGTTTAAGTTTAAACTATTCTTTTGGTTTTTTGTTGCATTTTAGACTTTTCCGCTTAGGTACGGTGGCTATCATGACCCGTATGATCCAGGCCTGGTGGCTCTTGGGATTTGTGAGAAGACACAGGCCTGGCCACCAAAGCTTCTTGTGCGCCAAAGGCTGCCCGGATGACTTTTACGATCAGCCTCCCAGTCACAGGCGTGATGAGCCAGGCACATCTCCCTAGTCCCCTGTGCAGTTTCCCAGTTTAGCCGCTTAGCCTTTCAAAAGTGCAGAGATTCTGCCCTTTCAAGTCCCGAAAACTCGAATGATTTGGTTCACGTCACGTTTGGAATTGATACTGATACTGGTTTCCGATGTCTCGTGGCCCTGTTCTTGTGCAGTGCTCCCTGTCATTTGAGTTTGCCCGGTACAGCTTATCACGTTTCCGTGCGAAATCTTGTCAATATTGGGGGTTACGTGAATTTGTTGGAAATTGCTGGCCTGCACAGGCCGCTTTGGATATCCAGATAGAGGTTCGGCTTTTTTAAAGAAGCGTTGAGGACACATTGACAGTGTGGGACTTGCACGAAGCCACATGATCATTAGAAGTTAGAAGTAAAGTTGACTGCATGAGACACATTGAGAAACATCATGCTCACGAGCAAGCAGCATCGCGTACGTTGCAGAGCAAAACTGAATATGCACATGACTTGGTCGTGTGCAGCAGAGGTTGCTGATGGCCGGTTGGTTCAAGAACTCTGCCCATACCTAGGTCACATTGCCTCCAGCACTTTTGAGTTTTTGCATTGCTTTCCATGTTGCTGGTTCCCCTGCCTAGTACAGATATCCTTGAGGAGTTACTTGCATGCATCGGTTGTCCGCCATTGTCCCTCAACCCTTGTGCCCACACAACCTTCCTCCGCTTGGCACGCCCATGAACCTACTTTGTGTTCCCAGTAGTCTCGCTGTATTCTGCAATACCAATTAGTATATATTCAGCGATACCAATAATTTGGATATTGGATGACAGGCAGGAAGGGCAGAACAACGATGCCCTCCCCAGATGCAGTGTTTGAGCCCCGAACATATTGATTGGATTGCACGAAGAAGGTGCCAAACTGCACTTGCAGCTTGGCGATTCTCTTTGCAAGCGCTTTGCTTCATCACCTTGCCCTGCTTGACTCAGTGCATGTGAAGCGTACTGTGGCCGGATACCTCTCCCAACCTGCTCAAGTCAGATCGCTCAAAGGTATGGTGCAGCGTTCATATCCGTACAGCTCCATGTCCAAACTGTTGTCGCAATTGTTGGACCACTGAAATGCGCCAGCTTTGCCCTTCACTCTTCTTGCAGGCCCAGCATATTCACCGGAGGCGCCTCTTCGCTGTGTTGATGCGTAGCGCAAGCCGGTGGCTACAACATGGTCTTATGGTTTCGGGTTGTTAACACTGTATGTGTGTTCTTTCTCCAAAGGCATTCGATGAACGCCATGAGCGTGCAATGAGGAGGAGCCCAGGCAAGCTAGCTCTGTATTGTTTGTTGCCGACGGCAATCAACATTCTATGATCAAACATATTTCATGCAAGCAAGTTACAGAATGTAAAGGCAACGGTAACGCTTGGAGCGGTCAGAACCTCAGGGTGACACGTGCTGTAATGAAATCCCGACCCTGATCGTGCAGGTGTTGTTGGGAAATCAAAAACAGAGGGGTCATGTTTGTTGAATTTATCACTCCCTTATTTTTTGGGCTGTAATTCCCTCTTTGCTTGGTTCGAATGCAGATGTGAGTGCTGATCATGGTGACCTATCATCATGTCCATAGCACCATATTTAATCGAAGATCCCACCCTGGCAACAGAGGAATGCACATGCTTTATGCGCCACAGAGTCAACAGAAAGCGCTGAACCTGCGGACGCTCGTACAGGAAGAGTCAAAACAGGGTTACGATTGAACGATCCAACTACTGTATATATATAAAGATAATGGAAAAGGATGTCAACTCCCAAGCTACTGAAATCCACGGTGCCCAGCACTACTGTAAGGGAATGCACTTAGACAGCAAAGCAAGGATTGGCATACTGGCACGTAGGACCAACGACCACTGACCATCAAATATCACATGGACCTTCCTGGAAATGGACTGCGGTGTGCAACGTAGTAAGATGGCTTGTTGCCCTTTGCCATGATTCCACAACTCCAAGAACAGCATGCGGGTACAAGCATGCCCTTGTTGTTGGTCCGCTCTGGATAGGCCTTTCTGAGAAGTTTTCTGAGGCATGGGTTTAGACCAAGCCTTACCGAAGCGTGGCCCCGTGCCAAACAATGTGGCGCGGCTGTATGACATCCCCTCAGGTCCTGCTCGGAGCCCCAGGGAGAGGATCAAAGGATTTCGAAGGTCGAACGAAGACCGAATAAAACCTTCGGAACACGATTGAATCGTGCGATTGTTGCCAAACTGGTTTTCAATAGTTTTCAGTACTGTAATTTCATTGCATTGCCATTCTATATTCTTTAATTGCAAGCTTCTGAGAGCTGCGCGAAAGTGAGACAAGACCAGACATGTGACATTGGAGGGAGGTTGGAAGGCCATAAGGGCACTTTAAGCCTGGGAACACCTTACGCCTTACATGTTGCAATGTGACAGGTGCAGAAGCCTCGAAGCCCGCAAGCGTCCATCCTCTCAGTGAAACGAGCTGCACACACGTTTTGAGGTTCCTAGAGACATTTGGAAACAGGCTTGAACATGATGTCTTATCTGCTCACAAATCATAACGCTTGCCAAGGCCTCAAGCGTACGAGGCACAATTCCAGCAGTCTGATTTGTTTTACCCATTCTTCGGGCAGTGTTATTAAGCAGATGCTCCCTTGTTCCAAACTGTGCCCATGGGATATTTTGGTCCAACGCGCACCTTTCTCTACAAGTGTCAAATGATGTGGGGAAGGTTCACAGCCTATTTTGTTTTTTGTTGTTTTTTGTCCTCCCCCAGGAACCCTACATGTGTGTGTGTGCGCTGTACTGTACAGGCAGTTTCACTTTATCGAGATTCGAGATGTGCGTTTTGAATACCCCGTGCTACTCGCTTTAGGACATGATGTCACCACCCTTTACTTTTCAGGAGAACGACTACGAGCCGCCTCAGCCAGCAGTTCCGTCCAAGGCTCCTTTCCCAGCTCAAAGCAGCACTGTTTGCTATTCTCAACGAATAGAGTCAGCAAGGAGACAGCATTTTCTGTGTGCCAGAAAGTGTGTGTATGTGTGTAACCCTTGGAATTACAGGGAATCCGTTGATTTTTATTTTGTTTATACGCAGGGGGGCACCTGGGACCGCTGATGAGACCGGTGCTAACAAAGACGCTCATCAGTTACCTGTGATACAGTTGGAGACGTCCAACTGCGTACCTACAGAGTTCTGACTTTAAGTTCCCACTGGGCCCCGTTTTAACAACAAGATTGCCAGCCATTGCATATGGTTACCTAATGTGGGCCTCTTATTAATAAACCCCCCCCTTTGATCAAGTGTGGGCCCCAAATAATGTGATTTCCAGAAAAAATCCTAGAAAATCTTGATTTGAATAGGAAAGGAAAGGAAAGGACAATGAAAGGAAAGGAAAGGACAATGAAAGGAAAGGAAAGGACAATGAAAGGAAAGGAAAGGAAATTGAAAGGACAATGAAAGGAAAGGAAAGGACAATGAAAGGAAAGGAAAAGACATGAAAGGAACATGAAAGGAAAGGAAATTGAAAGGACAATGAAAGGAAAGGAACGGAAAGGAAAGGAAACCTAAAGGACTTGTAAAGGAAACCACCAAAAGAACCAGCCAAAAAGTGTTTAGTATTATTTGAGGTCTTGAGTAATTGAAGGTTTGGGCTGCTTGTGGGGGGTGGTCTTTGTGGGTTGATTTCAGGTTGGAAATTGCAATGCCCAAATAAGCATTTTTTAAAGAAACATGCAGCAGCCAAATCAAAATTCCAGAGTAAAGGAAACCACAACATAATCAGGTCTTGGAATCAGCTGAAAGCTCAGAATCAGCTTGGATGAATCAAGGTCTGGAAGCAGCTGAAAATCAAGGTCCAGAAAACATTTAGTACTATTTGAGGGCCATTTACAATTGATTTTTGAAAAGATTTAGTACTACTCACGGGCCATTTACTATTAGGAAGTCAACATTACATCGCCGTGTGGCGAGTGGCATTCAGTTCAGTACGCAACTTCTCGAGTGTGTGTGTGTGGCTGTGTGTCCACCCCTGTCACTAAGGGGACTCTCATTAATTCATTTGCACTCAGCAGGGGCTAGGAGCACTCCTGCCAACGAATCTGGTGTGTGTGCTCGTACTAGACCGTAAAGGGCCAATGAATTCATCGTATCTTCACTGTTCGACTGCTCGATAAGCCTAAAGTGTAGGTGTGTGTGTGGGTATCATCAAAGCAAAAGCGAGGGTTGGATCAGGGAGGTTTTAGATCAATGCGGTTTTTTGTTCATGGGCTCTGTGTGTGACAAAATGATTTAAAAGATAAAATGTGCAAAAAAGTGCTGTGAGCAACCGACAACGATGGTCATCCCGCCCCCCCAAACAAATAATCCATTCCAGCTCCCCAAAAGCCAGCAACCTCGACATCCATGACAGCAATCAAACTGCACATGTTGCACAGACAGTCTATGCTACATACATATGCATGTCTGTGACTGTGCTTCAACTTCATAGATGCTCTAATGATCTAACCCTTCCTGATCCATTCCTTTTTTAAAATTATCTCATGCATATTTGCCACGCATTTTTTGGTTATCCAAAAAACATAAAGTCCCACATTTTCACACATAAATGTATATATATATATATGAACATATGTTTCACATTTTTTCACATTTATCAACATATTTTCACATATGTTCACTACCCTAATTTCTGAAACCTATCTGATCTAGACCTCCCTGATCTAGACCGCGATTTCGTGGTGGGGAGTGTAGTCGGTTGGTTCACCGGAGTGCACTCTTCTGGTGCGGAATTGACAGGGCGGACGAGCCAACGCCCCCGACTCAGATGGATTTGGTACTGTCTTGTGAAAGCTTTGTCTTCTGCGGGATCCTGCGGGCGTCCTCCCTCGCATTCTTGACCCGATCATCCGGATGTGGACTTTGCCAACTAGAAGCACCAAACGTGACAGTTCTTACCACTCAATTCATGCCTGCAAACACAACAAAACAACATTATTGGTCATTTGGTAGCAAACTACGCTGCTGTGTGATACATGCACTTTTGGCAGTGTTTGTTGTGTATTGGTTTTTGTTTGGAACACAAATGTTCTGTTGTTCTTCGAAGACTGCATGTTTCTTTACATTTTCTCCAGGTTCGTGATCCTAATGTGTGGGACTTACGGATTGTTTCACCTTCCAAGAGCCCGGCCAACCCATAGAACGGGCTGGGCGTATTAATGACATGAGCGCAACCTTGACGAAACAAGCTGTAAGTTTTCTCAACATGAAGGAGGTTTATGCAACGAATGTGTACTTGTATGCATTCTTGCAAAGGGAAACGTAGAAATGCGTGGACCTTTGCAGGCTGGCGAGTGGGGAGGCTTATTTGGTGAAGAGCCGGCCCTCCCTCCAAAAAGGCTTTTGCATAACTTCAGACGTTCAATTTCCATTCCACCTCATGTTTTTTTTTACAGTCACTTAAACCACTTGACCAACCGATTTATTTGGAGTTATAGCAGCTAGCCATTGTAGAGATAGAATGTAGCTGCGTTCTGTGGGCCGGGCAGGCCACAACGCAGAGAGTCACGAGAGCCAGAAGAGGCCGCATGTTTGACATTGTTTTTCAATAACAGTAAAGTCCCAAAAGGTCATTTCATATGCCGCACTGCTTAGCTTTGACATGTGCTGACGCCGGGCTGACGCCCTGTTCTTGCCACAGCGCAATGCCTTCTTCCGTGCCAATATCAGTGAAGCATATAAATTCTGAATGATCCAACAAAATTCAATCAGTGTGTTGATAAAACCAAAGGATATTAGCCAGGCATGCTCCAAGCTGAATTCTGAGTTTCACTCCATGAAGCCATGGTATCTGAGTTTGCAGCTTCGTTGGCGGTGCGTGCCTCTCAACGTGCCCTGGAACATGTTGGACCTGTACATGAATCGATCAGCGTTCACCAATACCAGCGATGAGCAATTTAGTATTGATATTGTTGAGTGGTCGTGACACAAAAGCGTTTTGGCTGAAACCTCGAAAAGCCGTTGGCCCCCTCAAAAGCGATAGCCATGTTATTGCAGTTTTTGATTTGCTGGGAAGAAGCTCGCTGTCCGTTTGGAATGGCATGGGGAATATGGAGAATGCTTGCTGTGCACACAGACCTATTGCTCGCAAGTGTGATAGGATGGCATCTGGCAATGACAATGTCACAGTGTTCCTTGCTACTTGTTGCGTCCAAATCCAAGAAAGAGAAACTCGCATATCTCCCATTGAAAAGCGTTCCTTGAAAGTTGCGAATGTGTCAACACAAATACCCTGTTGTGCTGTAGAGGTGTATCCCACGCTTCACATTGTGGGCAGGTGCGGCCGGGCTGGGGCTTTTCACCACGCAAAGGCACAAGGCATGGGTTGTGTAACAGGATAGGAGGGAAAGGAGTGACACCGTCTCAGACCGTCTCAACTCCAAGCATTTCTCACGTCCATAGGCTGGAAGCCTTCTACTGGCGGTCCCTGCTGGAAGGCCAATTTTATTGCTCGGGCTTGCTGCCCAAAACACTTTGATTCATAGAGAGATCTTAATTTGATAGCCAGGAAGGCAGCAGAATGAATGTGCACAGAGGTAAGACACAGTTTTGCTTATGGCTTGATGGTTGGATCTTCGCTCACAAAAATAACATGCTGCAAGCAAGTCAAAAGGATTAATCAGCAAGACTGTTTTTGCCAAATGCATGTTTGCTGCTTATGCTGCAGGTGCACCTCTCCAGCACTTCGAGAACTTCAGGCGGCAAGCAGAGGAAGTGAGCGATATCAGCTCCGACAGGCTTGGCTCGGCCTCCTTTATACATCCTTTATACATATATATATATACATATTTATATTTGTTGTCCGCGATTCCGATAGTGAAGCTTAGGGGTCTTCAGCCATAGTTTGCCGGTTGCTGCGACCACAAGTCGTCAACCTTACTTTGCGCTAAGACTCTTTCGTCAGCTTTGGGCACCTTCTCCGGCAGGCAGAACGAGACAAACCCTTGCTTGACAGGGCCACGGAGGGCACTCTTCGGGCACACTCCGCGCTGACATGAAGCCAGACACACTCAAGATAAATAAAAGTGTGCGCGTACAATATGAATGCCGCATGCCACACGCCAACCTAGGTGAAAAAGGGGCCTTAAGAAAACCAGATATTCCACACACACACACACACACCTCTGTCACACTCTCTAGGCTTAGTGCTGAAGTCCATGCGCTCGCTTGTTTTCATTCCGTCCGACATTGTGGAGTTATTTCAGTTTATATAACTAAAGTGGCAAGTACACATCGCTTCACCAGTTGTGAGTCCAACTTTGTTGGTCGAAGGACAACTCAGAACCGTGCCATGCTGGCACGCTGACATGGGTCATGCTAGTCAATGGTAGTCAACGCTGACATTGACATGCTGGCAGGCTCCAGAACAGGTTCCCTGGCTCTTACCGCGGCGTTGTCATGCTTGCACATATGTGGGCACATGTTGTGATGCCCGCATATGGGTAAAGACAACACTTGTTGGTGAGTTTGCGATGTTGCCATTGCCTAAAAAAGCGGGTTGAACCCGGGCCTGTTTTTTTTGGGAAGCCGTGCGTGGCTCACAAATAAGTTGAATACTGTATATTAGTAAGAGCTTGGACGCATTCTTTGTTCAGGTTTCTTCCTTGAAGAGCGATTGATTTGGTTATGGGGAACTTTAGATTCTTTAGATACCTTAGCGTCAGAAACATGAATCTTTGCGTTTCAGCATCCATTCCTGCACGAACAACCTCAGCATGCCAACAGAGTGTCAAGACCACTTGTTGTAAGTTTCACTCGCGCTTTCTGCTTGGCAGCCGAGTCATCCCGACACTAGAGGACCGGCGAGAACATTTGTGTTTGTTGAAAGCAGCTCCGCCAAAAGGCGCTCTCATCAGAAGCTGCTTTGAAAGATGTAGCTCTACCAGAAGCCATGCCCATCGGACAGGCACGTATTGACAGCTGATGTGATTGAGAACACGAGTGCAAACTGCAGTAAACATGAGCATGACGCTACAATGTAACTTTTCCCTGACACAAGACTACGCGGCAGCACTGAGAATTGGCCAGGAACACGCTTTTGGTGCTTTGCTGAGCGATCCCAGGCCGTAGTTTGATTTGTCCACGATGCGGCAATGCACGTGAAACTTTATCAACCTCCGACGGTTGATGTTGAATTTGGTTCCCTAACGAGCTGTTCCCAAAACCACCGGCGGACAACAATCACAGCCTGGCGCCTCGATGTGTCTACTCATGACGCATTCCACACAGTCCAGAATAACTAGAGACACTAACCCAACCAAAGGAGTTCCAGCAAAATTGCATTAAGCTGCCGAAGGTTGAACCAGCTCATGCGTGGGTGAGAATGAGTCAGCTGAGAGGATGATTTAGAGAAAACTATTGACAAAACAGCAGGTGAATCCAACACCACGACGACAGTTGCCGAATCCACCGCTGGTACAGGCAACAAAAATGTTAGAAAAACTACTTTGCTTCGAGTGATCCCCACCATGACATCTCAATCATGTGTGCGCAAGCCATGCTGAGGAGAATGTTGCCACGGTCGTGAGTTTTGTGGTTCTCGATTTTGCTTGGGTCCTCCGGTTGTGCGTTGTGGCTGTGTGCTGTGGTTGCGTGTTGTGATTGTGTGTGGTGGTTGTGTGTTGTGGTTGTGTGTTGTAGTTGTGTGCTGTGGTTCTGTGCTGTGGTTGTGTCTTGTGGTCGTGTGCTACGGTTGCGTCTTTGTGGTTGTGTGCTGTGGATGCGTCGTTGTGATATGTTGTGATTGTGTGTTTGTGGTTGCGTCTGTGATTGTGTTTGTGGTGGTGTGTTGGTGATTGTGTTTGTTGTAGTGTGTTTGCGATTGCGTGTTTGTGATCGTGGCTGTGGTTGTGTTTGTGGCTGTGCGCTTGTGATTGTGGCTGTGGTTGTGTTTGTGGTTGTGTGTTTGTGATTGTGTGTTTGTGATTGTGTGTTTGTGGTTGTGTGTTTGTGGTTGTGTGTTTGTGGTTGAGTTTGTGGTTGTGTGTTTGTGGTTGCGTTTGTGATTGTGTTTGTGGTTTTGTTTGTGGTTGTGTGATTGTGGTTGTGTGTTTGTGATTGTGTGTTTGTGATTGTGTTTGTGTAATTGTGGCTGCGTTTGTGATTGTGTTTGTGGTTGTATGTTTGTGCGTGTGCGTTTGTGATTGTGTTTGTGGTGGTTTAGTGGATTGATTGTGTTTGTGATTGTGTTTGTGTTTGTGGTCCGGTGGGGAACAGTTGGGCCTGGAGCTCGCGGTTGAGGTCCGGCAGGGAACACTGGTCGTGGGGTCGCGGTTGAGGTCTGGTGGGGAACACTTGGGTCTGGAGCGAACATTGAAGCGCCCATCATCACCGCTGACGTTCATAGACCTGATGATTATTCGCAGAGTATGCGGAAATCTTGGAAAAACAATCCTTGCCAATCACCTTTAACAGCGTATCAGTCCAAACTCAAACCACGAGCAGAAGCACCGACATCTTCACCACCATCGTTCGCAATGTCTCAAAGGCAGACAACATCTTCATTTCCTTCTATTCTAATTTCGGTTATCAAGGTGGCTTTCCGGAAGTTCTCAAGGCACACAACCTTCTCTACCATCCTTTGGCGTGGGAAAGCGAGACGCACAACAGACAAGACTATTACGAAGACTTGGACTTATCCTTTCAACTATCCATGGGAAACACCATCATTCCAGAGATGCCAACGATGGGAATGTGCCACAACTACAAGCACCTACAAGAAACCAGAAACAACCACGTCTCAATCAAACCACAAATGTATAGGACTAACTCGTTCCTCGCTGGGTTCAACCTAAAGAAACTCAACAGCGCCAACTACACCGGACTGAATTTGAAGAACTATTCAAATATGGTTGTCCGTGTAAAACCATTGTATGGAACGAAACTCTACACAGAAAACAACGGGACTGATACGGGACTGATGCCTGATAAAATGTATATCGTCATTGAACACGATTTTTTTTAGAAAGCAAGGCTCAATCGGTAATATTTTATGATTCAAAACATGATAGTAATATGTTGTTAAAATTATTATCATTTCTTTCTCACATTAAATATATAGATGGCAAACTATCACAACATAAACCGAAGCATTGAAGCACACGAGATTAGGATGATTGACACCGACGACGGACAACTGAAGAAACTGACTGACATACCTTCTTTAGGTGGGGGAGGCGGTGGAGGTGATGGATACACGGACGCGCAAATAGACGCGATGCTTTCAGCCAAAGCGGACACTTCCTACGTCAATACCAACTTCTACACTCAAACGGCAACAGATGGATTACTCGCCAACAAAGCGGACACAACATACGTCAATAACAATTTCTACACAGAAACCGAAACAAATGCGTTGCTCAACAACAAAGCGGATTTAACAAACGGTGCTCAATCCATCACGGCAAGTCAAATAACGACGGCGTTGGACATCACCACAGACATACAGTGTCAAAGCATAAAGCCCAGATTGGTTAATCAGGATTTGGTGATTAAACACTTTGCGAACAACAGCGTCCTTACCT